TACAGGTAATGATAAAGGAATGACCTCCCTTCTCTGTCTGTTGTTAGGTGATGACCCTATGACCTGTGTTGCCATGTGACCAGGGGCCTCCCCTGGCGATTTCTCCCTTCCACTGCTGTTTGGGATTGGGTTTATGAGATTCTTTGTGAACCCACAAAGTGAACTTTGTGGAAAAGGCAGGGCAACGTTGTTTACAAAGCCTTAATTCCTACAGCAGTTGTACCTGACCGATAGGAATGCATGACCCTCACACAGACCATACCTAGAACTCCTCCAATCCCACAGTGGCCTTCTCCCACAATAACCTGGTATCCTGTGGGCTCAAACATTTTTAGCAACCATATTGATGGATACACACTGTCATCTTGTAGCCTCAATCACCCTTTCGCATCTCTGCTCCTGCTGTCACTACAGAGTTTCCAACTCTCACACTCAATCTTACCCTGCTCACCCTTGAATTTCTTGCCATCATTCTGGAATTTCGTTCCACAATCCTTGAATTGATCTTGGTGTCAATCAACTCTCCCTCAGAGACCTGTCCTCCCTCCAGATGGACCTGTATTGTTTCAGGGTAGATAGCTCTCCTCTGGTTATTGACCTGCCGTGTGGGGAAAGCTGCCTCTCTCAGACACACAGAACCAGACTGCTGCAATGACCGATACCACACAATAGGTCAAAGCCTGACACATTCTCCAGCACCCTCCCTCACACATTCTAACATTTTGCTGTACTGCTGTCTGAGGACCTGATCACGATTATCCTCTTGCCAACTGTTGACTTGTCCAAGATGACTCCTTTAGCAGGTCAAATGTTATGCTATTTGAGACAGTGGAAGCAACGAGGTATACAGTTATGAGGGAGTTAATCTGGGAGTTCTCAACATCAACTCCTGACCCTGTGAAGTCTCATGGCATCATGTCCTATGCCCTCTAGAATGCCTCAATTAAAACTGCCTCAGCACATTTACAGGTGGTGCATTTCCCACCCGAAGTACTCACTGAGAGAAAATGTTTTTGTCATGTCACCCTTGTTCTTATTTTACAGATCAATTTAAATCTGTGCTTGTTCCTTTTACAAGCAGGAACAGTTTTCCTCTACCTGCAAACAAAACCAGAAATTGCTGGAAAAGCTCAGCAGGTCTGGCAGCAGCATCTCTGGAGATAAATCAGAGTTAATGTTCGAGTCTGGTGACTCTTTTTCAGAATGGTCTTCTTCAGAAGATTTTGAAAACTGCTATCAGATCTCCTCTTTGCCTTCTTCTCTCCAATGAGAACAGTCCCAACTCTTCAATCTATCCTCATAGCTGAAGTTTCTCATTTATAGAACCATATTTGTAAAACGCTCCAAACCCTCTCCAACGCCTTCACACACTTCCTATAATGTGGTGCCCGCAACTGTACACAGTACTCCAGCTGAGGTCTAACAAATGTCTCATACAATACAGTGTGGAGCTGGGGGAACACGATAGGTCAGGCAGCATCAGAGGGGCAGGAGAGTTACCGTTTCGGGCCTGGACCTTCGTCAGGACAGGGGAGGGGGAATGGAGCTCGGGCTGGGGGAAGGTAGGTGGGATGGCAATAGGTGGATGCAGGCAGGAGCAGCGAGGATTGATCAGTGGGAAGGGTGGTGCAGATAGTTCGGGATGGAGATGGACAGATAGTGTTAAGTCAAGGAAGTGAGAATGAGAAGGAGGATTGGACATGGGATGAGGCCAGGGTGGGGAGATTTTAAAACTGGTGATTTCTACATTTAGGCCATTGGGCTGTAGGCTCCTGAGTGGAATATGAGGTGTTGTTCCTCCAGTTTTTGGGTGGTGTCATTGTGGCACTGGAGGAAGCCCAGGATGGACATGTCACCCAGGGAGTGGGAGGGGGAGTTAAAATGGTTAGCCACTGGAAGGCGTTGATTATAAGCGTACAGAGCGCAGGTGCTCCACAAATCTGTCACCGAGTCTATGCTTGGTCTCACCGATGTAGAGGAGGCCACATCGGGAGCAGCGGATACAATAGACCAGGTTGGAGGATGCACAGGCGAATCCCTGTTGGATGTGGAACGTTTGTCTTGGGCCTCGGCTGGAGGTGGGAGGGGAGATGTAGGGGCAGGTGTTGCACTTCCTGTGGTTGCAGGGATAGGTGCCGGGGGTGTTGGGGCTAGTGGGGAGTGTGGGGCGGAACAGGGAGTCACGGAGTGAGCAGTCCCGACAAAAGGCAGATAGGGATGGGGAGGGAAATATATCTTTGGTGGTGGGGTCTGGTTGTAGGTGGTGGAAGTGGGAGGGGATGATGTGCTGGATGTGGAGGTCACTGGGGTGGTATGTGAGGACCAGGGGGACTCTGTCTTTACTTTTCTTGGGGGGAGGGGTTTTGAGGGCAGAAGTTCAGAAAATGCAAGAGATGCAGTTGAGGGCATTTTCAATCAACGGAAGGGGTACGTTGCAGTCCTTGAAATGGAGGGCATCTGGGATGTACAGGATTGGAACACTCCACTGTGGGAGCAGATGCGGCGAAGGCGGAGGAATTGGGAGTAAGGGATCGTATTCTTGCAGGAAGGTGGGTGAGAGGAAGTGTAGTCCAGGTAGCTATGGGAGTTGGTGGATTTGAAATAGATGTTGGTGCAGAGACGGTTACTGGATATGGAGGCAGATAGGCCCAGGAAGGAGAGGGAGGTATCGGAGATGGTCCAGGTGAATTTGAGGTTGGGAGGAAACGTGTTGCTAAAGTTGATGAACTGTTCAAGCTCCTCATGGGAGCACGAGGCAGCGCCGATACAGTCATCAATGTAGTAGAGGAAGAGGTGAGGGATGATGCCAGTATAGCAGCGGAAGAAGAACTGTTCCATGTATCCTATGAAGATGCAGGTATAGCCCAGACCCATACACTTGCACAGACCCACCCCTTTAGTTTGTCGGAAGTGGGAGGAGTTAAAGGAGATGTTGTTGAGGATAAGGACATGTTCCGTTAGGCGGATGAGGGTGTCGGTGGAAAGGGACTGATTGGGTTTGCGGTAGAGGAAAAAGTGGAGGGCTTTAGGCCATCTGCGTGGGGGATACAAGTGTACAGGGACTGGATGTCCATGGTGAAGATGAGGTTTTGGGGGCCAGGGAGTTGAAAGTCTTGGCGGAGCGGAGTTCCCGGACCAGGGGGGAAAGGATAGCGTCAAGCTAAGCCGAGATGAGTTTAATGGGGCAGGAGAAGGCAGAGACAATGGGTCAACTGGAGCAGTCAGGATTTTGTGGATTTTGGGAAGGAGACAGAAACGGGCAGTGTGGAGTTGGGAATGATGAGGTTGGAGGTCTCTTGAGTTGATAAGTTTATGGACGGTCTGAGAGATGATTGTTTGGCGATCAGGGGTGGGTTCATAATCGAGGGGACAGTAGGAGGAGGTGTCAGAGAGTTGGCCTTGGCAATGTAATGGTCAGTGTGCCATTGCACTATTGCACTTCCCTTATCTGTGGGTTTGATGGTGAGGTTAGGGCTGGAGCGGAGGGCTGCATGAGCGGAGGGGAGAGGCTGGAGTGAGTGAGACGGGTGGAGAGATTGAGGCGATCGATGTCGCGACGGGAGTTGGAAATGAAGAGGTCTAGGGAGAGTAGGAGACCATGAGGTGGTGTCCAGGAGGATGGGGTTTGTTGGAGGCAGGAGAAGGGGTCTGCAGAGGGTGGGTTAGATTCCTGGTTAAAGAAATAGGTGTGGAGGCAGAGGCGACAGAAAAAGAATTCAAAATCCAGACGTGAACAGAACTCATTAATGTTCAGGTGGAAGGGAATGAAGGTGAGTCCTTTACTGAGGACTGACCGTTTGTCCTCAGTGAGGGGGAGGTCTGGGGGGATAGTGAATATCCAGCAGGACTTACAGCTGGGGCTGGGTGTAGAGCTGGAACTGGAAGCAAGGGTGTGGAGACATTCTCGGGAGTGGTTGTATGTAAGGGGATGGTAACGTGTCTTATACAAGTTCAACATCACCCCCGTTCTCTCGGATTGCAGAAGTTCAGGTGTTATTATAGAGGGAAAAATATAGTGGGTACTACTGTAATGAACCGTGTAATTTGGATAATTTAAAACTGAACAGTTTACATTTATATATTATCACATCTCAAAGCTTCTCACATCCTGTGAATAAACTGAGGTGCTGTGAGAGGCAAATTGTGTACCATATTAATGTTACCCTGAGTGAGATTGAGTAACAACAGTGACTAAGCCTTTTCGGATAAATGTCACATTCAGCTTAGCATTTACCGAAGTCCCTGTGGGAGTTTCTTTCATGTATGAAGTTATGATCTGTCAGAATGATTGATAGACATCAAAAAAGGAGATCATTTGCCATGCTGGATCTGGGTTGATATTGGGTCCTTAATAGGCAAAATGGAAAATTTACAGCAAAGGATGCCATTCACCCCACTGTGTTTGTGTCAGGAGCTATTGTTCCAATTCTTATTTCTCTGCTCCATCCTTAATATTTATTCCATTTTTTTGTCAAATAGTTATTCAATTTCCTTTTAAATGTGGTTAGAATCTCTCTGCCTCTAATTATTCAGAAAAAACACCAAATGCTTATTTTCGGTCATGATGAAGGGTCTAAGCCTGAAAGGTTGACTCTTCTGCTCCTCTGATGCTGCCTGACCTGCTGAATTTCTCCAGCTCTACAATCTATCTAAATGCTTATTTTCGCTTTTTTCTTGTTTAAAATAAGGGAGAAAACAAAACTTAGGATATACTAAAAGTTTCTTTCTTGTGGCATTGTGACAAAATAGGGGTTCTCTGTACTCTGTCCTCGGAGAACTGTCTTCTGTCAACACCTCTGTTTGGACATTAACAGAGATGACAAGTTGTTTGACTAGAGCTGACTGTTTGAAATGTTAATTTAAGAGAGATCAGAAGTTGCAAAAATGTTGAGATGAGAAAGAACAATAAAAACAGACTGTTAAGTACAACTACGGAGCAAGCACTTCAGCTGAAGAACATTGAGGACAGTGTTAATTTGTAACAGTGGAGAGAACTGTACCTTGTTGTTGTCTAAAGTGTCTTTGTGTGCAAAGGCTTGAACAAATTCCTCAGGTCCAATATGACTGAGTCGTTCCTACAGAAATAAACTAAAATCAATGGCATGCCAAACTTAATTTATTCACAGGATCATATTTTATGTACCATGCATAAAAAAGTTTCCTATTTTTTATTTTTTTCTAAAAGTTGGGTCAAAATGTTGTGCAAAATTACATGTGAGTCACTACAGATATTTTTAATCACCCTCTTCAGACATGTTTTGACACAAGTTGGAGCAGATGGGTCATGAATCTGGGTCTCCTGGATATTAATCAACCTACTGGCCCAGAGGCAGGGACACTGTCACTGCATTACAAGAGCCCAAGAAAGTCTTAAGAATTCAACTGCTGTGACAATTTCAACATGTTTCTGTCTACAAGAAAAACCTGATTATGATCTAACTAAACTACTCCTACTTGCCTGCATCCCTCTAAACCTTTCCTAATCATGTCTTTTAAATGTTGTAACTGTACCTGCATCTACCACTTCCTTCCACATACATTTCATTTTGGCCCAACAAGTCCACACAGACTCTCAGATCATCCCACCCAGACCCATCCCCCTATAATCTACACATCCCTGAACACTTTGGGCAAATTAGCATGGCCAATCCACCTAGCCTACACATCTTTGGACTGGGGAGGAATCCCATATAGACATAGGGAAAACGTGCAAACTCCACACAGACAGTCACCCCAGGGTGGAATTGATCCCAGGTCTCTGGCACTGTGAGGCAGCAGTGCTAACCACTGTACCACTGTGCTACCCCAAATGAGCCACTTGTGTGTGAAAAAGTTGGCCCTCAGATCCCTTTTAAATCTATCTTCTCTCACCTCAAAAAATGTCCCCTAAATTTGAACTACCCCACCTAGGGAAAAAAATCTTGCTTTATAATAATCTTGCTTTATTTTTGTTCCACGTAGAACATCTGAATGAGGTTTAAATGGATTTATTCAGACTTCCGTATGAAAGGAGCAAGATTGGCTAGACTCTCTCATCAGACTGGCATGCCTAACCATGTGCAGAAGAACATGAACAATAACCTTCTCTTCATTAATAATTACATACAGAGGCTGACTATCAAATTTCGAAATTAGTAGCTAATTTTTAATTCATACCCAGCAATGACTCCTGTTCTAGATAAGGGCAAGTGTTGGAGTCAATCCAGTCACCATCTTACATGCTATTTCCAATGTTATTTCCTAACCATTAGATGCTCAAAAATAAACTTTGTAAAAGTTGTCAGCCCCAATGATATCTCATCCAATCCAAAGAATACACCAGAGTGTCAAAGTATACAGGAACGTGAATAAATAAAACAGTTCAGCTCAACAACATCCAGGACAAAACTTTAGTGAGCTTGTTGCGAATAAATTCAAGTTCATTTGTGGGACAAACACTGTAGGTATTGAACTCAACACCACTTTCAGCATGATGGAGCAGCTGGTAGCAATTTTGCCTGGAGTGAAAACGTAGTGCTGGCCAATCTACAATTTGAGCTCTCTGCATAATTTTTCATTTATGCTCAAGAAAATATCATCTTCTGTGAGTAAGTACACAAGGGAGAAAGTTGTTTGTGTATGTAGAGTTACATCAATTCCCCAACTGCTACAGTAGTTACGTGACCCTCTTCACTGATATCACTGAAGAATGCTGCACAGATACTGAGGAAGGGTCACCGGACTCAAAACGTTAACTCTCATTTTTCTTCACAGATGCTGCCAGACCTGCTGAGCTTTTCCGGCAACTTCTATTTTTGTTTCTGATTTACGGCATCTGCAGTTTTTTCTGGTTTTTAGTCAAAAAAAAAGTCACCTGGCAGTATTCAAAGTCAAACAGGGCGATTCTCCTAATCTCCTGACAACATTTATCCCTCAATCTTTGGTTGGGAACCTGAGCAGGGATACACAAGAGAGTGAAGTAAAGATAGAAATGAAAGATTGAAAAATCGAAAGTGAAAATGGAAGGCACAGAAAACAAGAACAAGAAGAAAACAGGGCCACAGTACAAAAATGAGATAACAAGGTGTAGAGCTGGATGAACACAGCAGGCCAAGCAGCATCAGAGAAGCAGGAAAGCTGATGTTTCGGGCCAGACCCTTCTTCAGTACAAAAATGATGTGTAAACATGCGCTTTGGAAGAGATAACAAGACAGAGGAGTATTCAATGAACATTGGGACACTAGGAAGCTCAGAGGAACAGAGGTAGGAAGGCAGGTTAATACGGTAGTCAAGAAAGCGTACTGGACACATGCAGAACAGTTCTGACAAAATGTCACTGGACTTGAAATGTGAATTCTGTTTTTCTCTCAATAGCTGCTGCCAGATCCAATGTGTTTCTCTAGTACTCTGTTCTTTTTATTACGATTTCCATTATCCACAGTTATTTATGCTTGTTTTAGTGACAATGGATATTAGCTCAGAAATTTGAGATGTGGAATCAGTCTGGGTGAAGATAAGAAGCAACAAGGGCTGAAAATGTTAGTGGAAGATGTCTATAGGTGTCCAAACAATAGTGGGGGATGGCATTAAATTGGAAATTGGAGAATAATGAAACAAGTGTGCTACGGTAATTATGGGAAACATTAATCTACACTGGGAAAACCACTAATAGTCGTGTGGTGGATGAATTCTGGGACTGTGGACAATATGTTTTTCTTTAGACCAGTGCACTGAGGTGCCAACTAGGGAACAGGTAATCCTGGATTTGGATTGTGTAATGACAAGGAGTTAATTAATAACTATGTTGTGCAGGGTGCTTTAGGGAAGATTGACCATAACATGATAGAATTGTTCATTGGGATGGAAAGAGAAGTAGTCCAATCTGAGACTAGAGTCCCTAAACTAAATAAATTAATCTCTGAATATATGAGTGATGGGTTGGCTACCATGGATCAAGTAACTTCATTAGATGTCATGATGATGAATAGGCAACAGCCAATATTAAGGCATTGCAACAGTTAATATTCCTTTCTGTAACACAATAGGAAATGTATCTCTATCATGACTAACAAAGGAAATTAAGAATAGTAATAGATCCAAGTGGAGTCATATAAAGTTGCTGGGAAATATAGCAAGCCTGAGGAATGGAAGCAGTTTAGAATTCAGCAAAAGAGGACCAAGAGATTGATTAAGAGGAGAAAATAGAATATGGAAGTCAATATAAAAATGGACAGTAAAACCTAAACAAATGCAAAAAGGAAAAGATTAGGGAACTCAAATGTAGGTTCCTCAAGGTCTGAAATGGGAGAACTGATAATAGAAAGCAAGGAAATGACAAACAATTAAACAACTACTTTAATTCTGTTTTCATTGAAGAAGACACAAATAACTTATCAGAAATGCCAGGGAAGCAAGGCTCTAATGAGAAAAACGTATTGAGGGAATTAGGGTTAGTTAAAAAAAAGTGGAAAAGCCAATGAGACTGAAAATTGATAAATCGTTAGGGCCTGATAATCTATATTCCAAGGTTTTAAAGGAGGTGACCATGAAAAAAGTGGACAGGTTGACTTTTTTCTTCTTTATTCATTCATAGGATGAGGGTGTCACTGGCCAAGACAGCATTTATTGCCATCCCTAATTGCCCAGAGGGCAGTTATGAGTCAACCACATTGCTGTGGGTCTGGAGTCACATGTAGGCCAGACCAGGTAAGGATGACAGTTTCCTTCCTTAAAGGACATTAGTGAACCAGATGGATTTTTCTGACAATTGGCAATGGATTAATGGTCATCATTAGACTCTTAATTTTGAATATTTATTGAATTAAAATCCCAGCATCCACCATGACAGGATTCAAACCCAGGTCCCCAGAACATTACCTGGGTCACTAGATTAACAGTCCAGTGATAATACCGCTAGGCCATTGCTTCCCCAATAATTGTCTGTTGATTGTCTGTTTGATTCTAAAACAGTCCTTCCGGAAAAGTTAAGTGAGTGGTCAAATACATTGCAGATGCAATATAGTATGGATGAGTGTGAAGTTATCCAATTTGCTGGACAAGACAGAACGAGGCAGTATCATTAAAATTGTGGCAGATTGAGTAACGTTGATGTATATAGGAACCTGGGTGTCCTTGAACACCACTCACAAAAAGCAGGCTGGCAGGTGCAGCCAGCAGTGAGGAAGACAAATGATGTGCTGGCCTTTATTACAAGAGCAGAAGCAAGTATGCTGGTGATCAGGTCAGATCTTGGTGAGAACATGCCCAGAGTCTTGTGTACAGTTTTAGTCTCTTTTCCTAAGAAAGTATATATTTACCATTGAAGAAGTGTAGCAAAAGGTCACCAAACTGATTACTGGGATGGCAAGCTTTTTGTACGAGGAGAGATAAGATCAACGGGGCCTGTATTCACAGATGTTGAGAAGAATGACAGGGGATATTTTTGAAACATATAAAACTCTGACAGGTCTAGACAGATTGGATGCAGGGATGATGTTCCCCCTGGCCAGGTGTTGCCGGTGGTGCCTAGAACAAGGAGTCACAGTCTCAGGATACAAGGTAGACCACATAATAGGATTGAGATGAGGAGAACTATCTTCACTCAGAGGGTGGTGAACCTTTGGACCACAGAAAGTTGTATAGGCCATGTTACTGAATATAGTTAAGAAATAGATTACTGAATGTATTTAAGAAGAGGTACGATTTCTAGATACTAAAGGCATCAAGTAGTATTGGGAGAGAACAGGAATGTGGCACTGAGGTAGATGATCAGCCATGATCATACAGAATCCTGACTCTATTTTGTGTCTTACAACCAATTCCATCAGATGGAATTTTGCCTCCATTATCTGGATAGCAATCTGCTGGAGTGGATTTGATGTAGAAGAGTGTGGGTGGTGGGTTGTAAGCAGAACAGCTACCCAATCAATTTTCCACTTGCTTGCAAGTTTATTGAAGTAACTTCTCATGTATTTATGTAATTATGTAATCTTTCTAAAATTGCTTAATCTACCCTTTTTACATCAATAACTTCTTGTGTTAAATTACTGCTTTGTTTCGGAATCTTTACTAAACTAATTCAGTCCGTGATGATTTTTGATGTTGCAAAATAAACAGGAAGACATTGAGCTACAAATGGCAACCTTTGAGTTTGCTATTTCGGGAATTATTAACACAGTGGGCAATAATAACAGCCATCACTTATACACTGTAACAGGGTTATTCAATAACGTCCAGGCCCTTATTGTGATCCACAAAACCTTAGTGAACATAATCCTCTAAAACAGAGGGAAAAGTACCAGAAAATGAGACAGAAACACCATAAACAAATTAAAAAAGAAACAAATCAGAAAAGCAATGATGCACTGTAAATGTAATCTGATAGTATTGTTACAACAATAATGCATGAAGCACTAACCAGTTCTATATGTGTTAGCTGCTGAGCTAAAGTATACGGGTCACTGCAGATGGTCACTATATCTCTTTGAATGGACTGTGGTTTGGTCTTTAGCACAGTAAGTCGGTCTGTGACAGTTGCATTTAATTTTGAGAGGACTTCTTCATACTGGTTAAGGGTAGCAAGCTTCTGGATCAGATTCTGAGTAATCTGCTGCATGGTTTTCCGATGTAACTGCCACAGAAAGAAGAAAACAAATACAAGTAAAACCAGTATCCAGTTAATTATACAAAAGTTAAACACTGCAGCTGGTGGCAAGTCATTAAGACAGATAAGCAAAAGATTTCCTTGATCACTTATGACTGAAAATCTCCTCTGAGTAATGCAGAAAACTCCAGAGGCTATTTGGAAAATAGATAGGCTTGAACTCAAAAGCTCCCGCTGCCCCACTGCAATGCCCACATTTGAATAACATGTCAATGCTCATTATATTGCCGACATACAAGAATAGCTTCTTGATACTGGAATGATACCTGGAAGTTTGAAAATGAACCATTACCTGAGGCAGGGCCCACGACAAGGGGGACACATCAAGGCCCACCAGATCTTTCTGATTTCAGTTCCCCAACCCTGGCATGAGATACTGTCAGACATGACAAGTTTAATGGAGAGAAATTTTGTCAAAATATTTTTCAGGTTAATTAAAACAAAACTGAGATCAATACCACAAGCAAGTGGTTACACCAATCCTCGGTAGAGCTGTTCAGGAAATATTTCAAATACAGATTCTCTTAGAGTATCATACTGAGAACCAGTGTGTACTGCAATGAATGGATTCCTTCTGTGCTGTAATCATTCTCTGACTCACTCAAAAGGGGGTGGTAACTCACAATCATCCATAAATGTGTTTTTAATAAATGTCAAATTGTAGGTTTTTTGACACGCTTAAAAATGCAGCAAAATTAAAATGTGCTTATGTTACTGTATCCTAATCTTACCTTCCATCTATATAAAGTTAACCAATTAGAACTAATTTTATATTTTTATACTAAAAACAGGTTATTGCATATTTACTAAAACAGTTAAATCCCTTCAAGAGGAAGAATCGGGAGTACAAATTTCACTGCAGCTACTTTTAGTGACATTTTAAACGCAATGATGGTTCTTTCCTGTTTGGTGCTCCTGGTAAAATTTAAACATGTCTGAAAAGAGAACATTTACATTGTAAATAACTGAAATGAATCTTCATAAACACATTTCGGATGTCAATAAATATGCTAACAAGATTAAACTGTGCTCGATCAGTTTTCAGCTACAATACCATCAAGAAGAAGAATCACATTGTCAAAAACATAACGAAGTAAAGTCTGCATGCAGAAAAATTGCAGCATTATTTTTTAGCATGTTTCTCCTCCCTTTCCCATCATTACTTTGTTTAATGCTATCTGTTTGCTCTCACTAGTGAGGCAACTGAGAACCATAAAGCTCTTCACAGCCAGTGGTGAACAGGTTAGAATACTGATCTCTACCTGAGTTCAAGTCTTTCCAACTGCAAGTAATCTAAAATTATAATATTGGTATGCTTAAGGAAATCATGGAACTGAGCTTATAGGGCAAATTAAGTCGCCAGTATCACAGATTTATTATTCTTGTACTAAAGCCAATGTAAAACTCCACATGATTTCATGGGTTTGCTCATTTATGCTAGTCTTTCAAACTGTGCTATCTAAAGTATTGATGTGGATACTTGCAGGCAAGTAATGTCCTGCATAAAAGGCTTCTTTAAATAATTGACACACCCTGTTTACTTTTATTGAACGTCAACCATAAGCTTTAAATGTATTGCTTTCGTAATGACAGTGAAACAAAATAACAGGGCTGTAAACAAATGGAAAGAAATACTAACTGGGTTAACAGATACAGACTTCTATTTCTGTTTCTTACCATGATCACCACTTGCAAATAAGAGGTCAACATAGATAATCTTGTGCTGCACAAGATATACTGAGATAAAACTCCCTGGGAGAAAAGGGCTATTGTTGTTGTCTGTACAGTACACGTTATTAGCTAATTAAAGTTGCTTTTGTTGGCAGTGAAGTGCAAGGATCAGCATACTCTTAACAATATCTGGTTAGAAATATAGGTTAGGTATATAGAAGACACTAACAGCATTCCGAAAATGTTAAATATTCAAGGGGCAAAAAAGACAGAGGACTATCACTAGAGAAGATGTACTTTGAAAGCTAATGAGGCTAAAGAATGATAGATCTTCTGGACCTGATGGGAGGCATTTGAGAATATTACAAGAAGTAGCTATGAAATAATGAATACATTGGTAGTAATCTTTAGATTTAGCAATCTAATCCTTAGATTCTGGAAAATTGCCAGAGGACTGGAAAACTGACAATGTAACACTTTTATCCAAAATGGGAAAACAAAAAACTGATAACTATAGGCCAGTTAACTTCTTTTTTATTCATTTACAGGATGAGGGCATCATTGGATGGGCCAGCATTTATTGCCCATCCCTAAATGCCCAGAGGGCAGTTAAGAATCAACAACATTGCTGGGGTCTGGAGTCACATGTAGGCCAGACCAGATAAGGACGGCAGTTTCCTTTTCTAAAGGACATTAGTGACCCAGATAGATTTTTCTGACAATCGACAATGGAATTGTGGTCATTACAATTTTAACTTGAGATTTTTATTGAATTCAAATTCCTCCATCTGCCGTGGCAGGATTTGAATGCAGGTCCCCAGAACATTAACTGAATCTCTGGATTAACAGTCCAGTGATAATACCACCAGGCATCTTGGGAAAATGTGACTGTCTACTATACAGGTTGCAATTGTAGAGCATTTGGAAATGCAAAATATAACCTCCATGAAGGGGAAATCATGCCTGAAAAATTCATTAGAATTCTTTGAGAAGGCAACAAGCAGGATAGATAAAGGGGGAGCAGTGGATGTAATGTATTTGGATTTTGAGAAGGCATTTGACAAGGCACCACACGTTAAACTACTTAATAAGGTAAGAGCTCTTCGTCATGGAGATAATGTATTAGCATGGATAGAGGACTAGATAACGAATAGAAAACGAAGGGGCATTTTCAGGACAACCAACTGTAATTAGTGGAGTACCACAGGGATCAGTGCTGCAGCCACAATTATTTACAATATATACTAATGATTGGGGAGAGTGAATGTACTATAGTCACTAAGTTTGAGAATGACACAAAAATAAGTGAGAAGGCAAATAGTGAGGACGACACAAAGAGTGCATCGGGATACAGAATGGATAAATGAGTGGGTAAAAACCTGGCACATGGAATATAATGTGGATAAATGTAAGGTCATGCAATTTGGCAGGAAGAAGAAAGGAGCTGCAGATTATTTAAATTGAGAAAGACTGTAGAAAGCTACAGCACACTAGATCTGGGAGTCCTCATGCATAAATCACAATAAGTTATCATACAAGATCAGCAAGTAATAGGAAAGCAAGTGGAACATTGGCCTTTATTTCAAAGTGATTGGAGCATAAAAATAGAAAAGTCTTGCTAAGATTATACAAGGCACGAGTTAGACCATGCCTGGAATACAGTGAATTATTTTCATCCCCTTACCCAGGGAAATATATACCTGCATTGGAGGTAGCCCCAAGAAGGTTTCACTAGGTTGTTCCCAGATATGGTGAGATTGTCTTATGAGGTGAGGTTAAACAGGTTGGGCCTGTACTCATTACAGTTTAGAAGAGTTAGAGATGACCTTATTGAAACATATAAGATTCTTAGGGGCCTTGGCAGAGTATTTGAGGAGACGTTGTTTCCCTTTGTGGGAGCAGCTAGGACTAGACAGCATAATCAGTTAGGGCAGAGACAAGGAGGAATTTATTCTCTCAGAGGCTAGTGTTCCACAGAGAATTGTAAAGGGCGGGTCGGTAAGTATATTCGAGGCTGACATAGTCATATTTTTAATCAGTAAACAAATCAATCTTATTGGGAAAAAGGAGAAAAGTGGGACTGAGGAACCAGACCAACCATCATCTCAATGAATGACGGGGCAGACTTGCTGGGCTAAATGGCCTGTGATTGCAACTACATCTTACAGTTTCATGGTTTGATTCAGAAATAAGTATAACTAATTAGGTCGGACACACATACAAATCAGAAATATTTAAAGATAAAGATTCATGTTGGAGCTAACC